CGCTCGCGACGACGACGTCGTAGCCGCGCGCGGCCGCGGCCCGGACCGCGGCGGCGTCGAGGATGTCGAGCCGCTGCACGTCGAACGTCTCGGCCGCGGCGTCGCGCGCCGCGGAGAGCAGGCGCAGGCTCAGCGCCGACACGTCCGTGGCCGTGACGTCGGCTTTCAACGTCGCGGCCGTCACCGACGCGAGGCCAGGCCCCGCGCCGATCTCGAGCACGCGTTGGCCGTCCAAAAAGCCGCCGCGTCGCTCCGCGTGCTCGACCAGCGCGTCGGCCGCGGCGACGCTCGCGGGCCAGCAAAAGCTTCCGAACGGGTCCGAGTCGTCCTCGATCGCCACGTCCAAAGCATCGTCCGCGTTTTGGACCTCGTAGACCTGGAGCTCGTGCCCCGATTTCAATTTCACGGTGAGAGGCTGTATGGGAGGGATCTGCAGCGCCGCGGACAGCATCGCGTGGTGCAGCAGCAGCGCGACAGGCAGGCGGCGCATGAGACCTTGCACGTGCCTCGCAGACGCGCCGAGCTGCAGCGGCGGCCGAGCTCGTGCCGAGACCTGGCGACGGTGCACGCGGATGCAGACGCGCCGAGCTGCACGGACTGCTTCAGTGGGAGCAACCGAGCTCGAGCCGAGCCATAGCTCATGAGCTCAAGCTTCACAATCACTTCACGCAGCTGATCTTCCTCTGCCTCAGGTGATAGCGCGTCTGGCCAAGCTCTTCGGGGCTGCCGCTGCCGCCGCGCGCCAGTCACCATGGCCTTCCAGGAGGTGACGGACGAGTCCATCGAGCGCGAGTGGCTGGCGCAGGATGTCATCGCGCTCAAAAACGAGGTGAGAGAACAAAAAGACAAAACCAAGCACCGCGCCCCCTCCCCCGCGGAGCGGCTGCGGACGAAGGCGACGAAGTACCAGATCTTCAAGGACGCGCGCGCGTCGGGCGAGTACAGCCCCGTGCGCGAGGAGCTGCGCTTCGAGCCCGAGCAGTACGAGCACTTCCAGTCGCTCCAGCTCGAGCGCGGCAACTCGCCGAGCCAGATGCGGCCCAAGTCGCGGTCTGGCGTCGACCTCGACGCGTTCCTGTCAGAGCGGCGGCCGCACTCGAGCCACCACGCGTCGGCGCCCGTGCTCTACCCGAACGGCATCGGCCCGCTCGCCGGCGTCGACTCCGTCGCGGACGGCGCGGAGCTCCGGCCGTCCAAGTCGTCCGACGGCGTCTTCCGGCTGAGCGCGGCCCGGAGCGCGCACCTCGCCGCGGCGGCGGCCGCGGCGCCGCTGCGGTCGATCCAGGGCCGGCGCGGCCTCATGACCGAGGACGACGAGCACGTGGAGACCATGTACCGGCTGCCCGTGTGGATCCCGCCGGAGCCGGAGCGCCCGAAGCGGGACCACGCGCCGCCGGACCCGGCGATCGTGGCCGCGGCGCTCGAGACCCTGTCGCGGCCCGCGTCGCCGGACATCCTGAAGATCTCGTCGCGGCCGGGCACGTCGTCGACGAACCGGCCGGGGACGACGTCCGCGGAGCCGACGCCCGCGCGGACGCCGCCCGGGTCGCGGCCCGCGTCGCGGCCGGGCGCGGACGGCGCGGGCGGCGGCGACGCGGCGCCCGCGCCCGTGCCCGGCGACGCGCTCCTCGAGCTGCCCGTGCTGCCCATGCTCACGCACTTTGGCGACGACCTGCTCGGCGGCCCGACGATGCTGCCGGGCGCGCTGCCGCCCGCGGCGAACCGCGTCGAGCTCAACAAGGTCGTCCAGCCGCTCTACACGCGGGGCTTCCGGCGCGAGCTCAAGCGCGTCAATTCGATCCGGGAGCTGGAGAAGGGCGACGCCGCGCGGCTCCGCAAGGCGCGGATCCTCGAGGCCGAGGCGACGCGCCACGTCCGCAGGGAAAACGCGAAGCTCGCGAAGCTCGCGGAGGAGCGGCGCGTGATCGAGCTCGCGCGGTGCCGCCAGGGCTGGCTGCCGCTCGTCGTCCAGGGCGCCTTCATCCGGAACCTGCGGAACGGCGCCTTCATGCGCATGTCCGAGCTCGCGGAGCTCCGGTTCCGGACGCGGCGCGCGAAGATCATCCAGCACTGCTGGCGGAGCCACTTCGTGCGCGTGCTCGCGCCGCGCATGCGCAAGCTCCACGCGGCGAGCACCGGGCTGAAGCGGGCGCTCCGGGCGAAGAAGCTGCGGATGGCGCGGACGAAGATCCGCACGTTCCTCGACGAGATCCGCGAGGAGGAGGGCTCGCCGCGGAACGCGGTCCAGCACTTCCTCCACAGCGTGCGCAAGTCGCAGCGGGCCATCCGCAACTTTTCGATCTGCTGGAAGGCGCGGCGCAAGGTCTGCTGGAAGCTCTGGGTCAAGCTCGAGCACGAGATCCGCGAGAAGCTCGCATCGGACGCGATGGCCGCGCACAAGCGCGCGGTGCGCGCGGCCCTCGAGAAGCAGCTCCGCCAGAAGCGCAAGGCCAAGGTGAAGAAGAGCGACCAGCGCAAGACCCTCGGCGAGGTGCACATGAGCGGCATCGCGCGCTTCACCGCGCGGCAGATCAACGAGCACGCGTCGCAGCGCAAGGCGTCGGCCGCGACGTACGCGCGCATGGACGCCCTCTGGGCCATCCGCTCCCTCCAGCGCAAGCAGCAGGCCCTCGAGATCCTCAAGCCCCTGCCCGACGTCGACGACGTCGCCAAGCGCCACGCGGCCGTCCGCAAGCCCGACGGCGCGCTCCTCGTGTCGCTCGGCACGACGGAGGTGCTGGGCATGGTCGTCCTCGCCTGCCGCCGCAAGCGCCGCCGCCACATCGCCTACGCCGCCGAGCTCCGCGAGCGGGAGAAGGTCATGGTCATCGACCACGACGTCGCGCGCGCGCTCATGCGCGCGTCCGGCAAGCTCAACCCGTCCGCGCGCGACCTCAACCAGCTCAAGGAGAAGGCCAAGAAGGAGCGCCGGACCTTCAGCTGGCCCGCGCTCCGCCTCTACACGGCGACGAACCTCGGCGACACCTGGCACGACATCATCAAGGACCTCGTCGTCCGCGACCTCCACGCGCGCCGCCAGCAGCTCGCGAACCGCCTCAAGTCCATGATCCAGCCCGAGGAGGTCGAGCGCCTCGCGAGCATGCTCCTCGACGACGACCCGGACCAGACGAAGATGCAGGACTACATGTCCTCGTCCCGCGCGCCGCGTCCCCGCCGTCGGCGTCGCCCGCGCGCCTCGCGCGCTCGGCCGCCGCGACGCCGCGCGCGCGCGCGCCGACGCCAACCCCCCCGCCGCAGGTCGCGCGAGGACCTCATGAGCTTCTCCATCGACCTGACGCTCGAGAACTCGTCCATCGCGTCGGGCTCGACGGCCATCTCCAAGGCCACGCCCACGAGCGGCTCGGGCCCGCACCACCACCACGGCGCGCACGTGCACCTGCACCACCACCACGACGCGGGCGAGGAGCTCGCGCGCCGCGGGGCCGGCGACCCCCGCGCCGCGGCGGCGCCGCGGCCGTCGGGGCGGAACATGGTCATGGCGCGGCAGCCGGGCCTCACCGTGCGCGTCATCCGGAGGAAGGCCGAGGACCAGGAGGCCGACGACCGGGCGCGCGAGAACAAGGCGCGCGGCGACGACGAGAACGTCGACGCCCTCCTCGCCGCCACGGACCGGTATCGGCTGTAAGAGGTCGCTCTGCGCGTTGAAGGCGGCGTTGAATTCATCGTCGGCACCGTGACGCGGAGACAATATTCGCTCGTCGATGGTAGTTTATTAGGTTGAGGCAGCCCCCCCCCGGAGAATGAAGAAGGCGGTCGACGTCGCCCGTTACATGGGGTCGCCGAGCCAGTCGATGTCGACGCTCGGACCGAGCATCAGCGCGCGCCAGGTCACGGAGACGCCGCGGGAGCTCAACTCGCGCCGCTACACGCTGGCGCCGATGATGCCCGGCGGGAACGCCCACTGGCACCACTTCGGCAAGGCGCCGGCGCCGGCGCCGGCGCCCGCGGAGCGCGACCGGCCCGGCATCAAGCGCGACGGCTGGGGCCGGCCCGAGCCCGAGGAGCCGAGCACGAAGGACGTCGTGCGCCGCGAGAGCGCGCGGTCGCTCGTGACGGGCGTGATCCTCGCGAACCCGGCGAACCGGCCGAAGACCCGGCGCAAGCCGCAGTGCCCGACGGACCAGGCCGACATGCTCACCCACGACCAGACCTCGTTCGTCAAGGTGCTGGACCCGTACTCGATGTGGCGCATGCGGTGGAACCTCTTCACGCTGGGGCTCATCGGCTACGTGCTCATCGTGACGCCCTTCGAGATCGCCTTCGTCAGCAACTGCAAGCGCCCGCCGGGCGGCATGTCGGGGCTCTGGGTCTGCAACCTCCTCGTGGACCTCAGCTTCTTGGCGGACATGTGCCTCACGTTCAACACGGCGTACTTCAACGCGGAGCGGAACACGTGGATCATGGACCGGCGCTACATCGCGCTCGAGTACCTGCGCATGTGGTTCCTCATCGACCTCGTGTCCATCTTCCCCTTCGAGTACGTCGGCGGCGAGAACACGCGCTACTTCCGCATCATGCGCGTCTTCAAGCTGAGCAAGCTGCTCCGCGCGGTCAAGAGCTACCGGCTCCTGGCGCACATCGCCAAGCACATCGACGTGAGCACCAAGTGGCAGACGCTCACGAAGTACGCGCTCTTCCTGCTCATCTCGATCCACTGGTGCGCGTGCCTCCTCCGCCTCGTCACGGTCTACTCGCCCAAGGGCCGGAAGACGGTCCTGCGCGTCTCGCGGACCTGGGGCAAGGGCCTCTGGGCCGAGTACGTCCAGGCCTGCCTCTGGGCCTTCGCGGCCATGAACGGCGAGTACGACGTCTACACGGACACCGAGTTCATCCTCAACCTGTTCATCATGCTCATGGGCTGCTTCATCCTCGCGTTCCTCCTCGGCGAGCTCACGAACACGGTGTCGAACCTCGACCCCGTGACGAACAACTTCCGGCGCACGCTCGACAACCTCAACGACTACATGGCGCGGTCCAACTTCCCCGAGAAGCTCCGGCTCAAGCTCCGCGAGTACATCATGCTCAGCGAGAACATCTTCCGCGACAACTACTACAAGGAGATCCTGGACCAGCTCTCGCCGAACCTGCTCGCCGTCGTCGCCGTCCAGAACTTTGGGGAGGTCGTCTGCCGCATCCCCTTCGTGGCCTACACGGTCCAGGCCGCGTGCGGCATCCGCCTCGGGTCCGTCGTCACGGTGCACTCGCCGGACTGGGTCCCGGGCACGAAGCGCAAGAAGAGCCAGCCCGCGCTGACGCGCACGGCGCGCATCATCGCCATCCCCAAGTACCTCTGCTACAACGTCCGCTACCTCGACAACAGCGAGGAGGAGGAGAACGTCGACAACTCGCGCGTCGCGCGCGTCGAGCGCAAGGGGCCGGGCGTCCCCGGCGACGCGGGCGGCGGCATCATGGACCGCCACCACCTCCTCCACTACGAGTACGCCCAGTTCACGGTGACCCTCGCCAAGCTCCTCACGTCCCAGCTCTTCATGGCCACGGACACGATCGTCCACCGCTACCTGTCGATGAACGACGCGCTCTACGTCATCGAGAGCGGCAACGTCAAGCTCTTCGGCCGCAAGTCGCCGCGGCTCTACGACGTCGAGATCCGCCAGACCAACGAGTTCTTCGGCGACGACATCTCCATGGTCGTCGCCGCGGAGTCGGAGTTCAAGCCCGTGCTCCGCCACTACACGGCGCGCGCGGGCCGCATCACGCAGCTCCTGGTGATGGACGCCGAGAAGCTCCACACCGTGCTCCAGTCGCCGAGCTTCGCGCTCTTCTCGCACCACATCAAGAAGTACGGCCGCTGGATGCGCCTCAAGGTCGCGATGATCATGTCGATCCGCGAGGGCAAGCTCGACAACATCGAGCTGCCCGACGACAAGGGCGACGGCCCCGGCGGCGCCGACGGCGCGCAGCTCATCGGCGACGGCGGCGACTCCGGCGACGGCGTCGACTCCGGCGACATGCTCGGCACGCCGCGGCTCGGCAACTACGCCGACGCCGGCGCGCCCTGGCCGGCCGCGGGCGCGCCCGCGCCCTCCCTCGGCGAGGCGACGGCGAGCGTCGTCAACAAGCTCGTCGCCGAGGTCCTCTCCAAGTCCGACGCGGACCGCGCGGACTTCGCCGCGAAGCGCCCGGAGACCGCGGCGCTCGTCGCCCAGCTCGCGCAGTCGCTCGAGCGCGACGCGAGCGCGGCGACCTGGAGCGGGGGCGAGTCCTACCAAGCGAGCCCCCCGCAGAACCTGCGCACCGTCGAGTTCGACCACGGCGGGAACGCGGCCGGCTCGCCGCCGACGCCGCCGGTCCTGTCGAACGGCGTGGGCGACAACTTCGACCCGAACTCGCCCGCGGCCCTCCACGGGTTCTCGCTGCCCGAGCCCGCCGGCGATGCGGACGAGGACAAGGCGTACTCGTTCTGCGGCGCCTTCGGCGACCAGCCCGGCGGCGGCGGCGGCGGCGGCGGGACCGCGTGAGCTTCCCGCCAATTCCAACCAATTCGAACGCCGCTTAACTATCCTCTTCGTGCGCCCGGCTCTGGCATGTGAAGACCGCCCCCCCCCCCGGCGGGGATAACTAGCTTACCTTCGTTCAGCCAGCATCTTCGAAGGAGAGATAGGCATGGTCTTTACTTGCCAGCGCCCGGCTCACGGGTTCACGCGCGCGGCGGCCCAGGCGCCCTCGGCGGCCGTGTCCATCTGGCGGAAGTTGTCCGTCAATCGCAGGTAGTCCACGGACGTCGGCTCGAGGAGGCCGAGCAGGAACACGTCCGGCACGGGGAGCACGTTGCCCGTGTCCTCCGCGCGGCCGCCCTTGGGCACGTCCTCCGGCTCGGCGTCGAAGGCGCCGCGCGGCGGGTGCGCCCAGAAGAACTGCTCGCGCGCGTTGTCCGAGAGGTTGCCCCACATCTGCTTGCGGAGCGCGACCTACCAAGCGATTGTTCATCGTTTTTCCAGTCGAAATCTTCGCGGCCGCGGGACGCCGAGCGCGACGCGATCCGCGTCCGGGTAGTCGGCGCCCACGTAGGCGAGCTCGCCCGCGAAGCGGTACTGCTCCGATGACTGGGAGAACCACCAGCAGACCTCGACGTGCTTCGACTGCTGCACCTTCTGCGAGCGCGCGTCGGTGATGATCTTGAGGCACCCGTCCGGCGCGAAGCCGCGGAAGACGACGGTCCGCACGCGCGGCAGGCCCGACTCGTCGACGGACGCGAGCTGCACGTAGTTGCCGCCGCGGATCTTCCGCGACTTGGCGATGGACCCGACGATGCGCTCGCGCCACGGCACGACACCGCCGGCGTCCTCCATCGAGCTCATCGTGCGCGACCGACCCGCCGGCGCGGCAAACGAGCGCGCGCCCGCGTTGCGACTTGCCGGCGCGAACGAGCGCGTGCCGCGGACCAGAGACGCTGCTGCAACCAGCGAGAGCTTCACGCGCATGCGATGGCGGTGGCGCGGCTGGAAGCTCTGCGTCGACGCAGAGCTAGTGGCAGAAGCCGTCGCTGAAGAGATGCTGAAGGCAAAGTTCGGAAAGTATCGGCCCCATCTGCAGGCAGCCCCGGCTCGCGGCGGATAGGCGTTGTCGGCCGCCTCCGTCGTCGCGGCGCACCGACGATGGTGCGCGACGTGCGGGGGCTCAAGGTCGTGCACGAGCAGTATGAAAAGCTCGAGCACGTCGTGGACAATTTGAACGAGAAGACGCGCGGGTTGTTGTTGCGGGAGCGGCGCGAGTTTTTGGCGGCGTACCGCGCGCACACCTACAAGATCCAGAACGAGCTTCGGGAGCTGAGGCGGCGGGTCGCCGAGGAGCAGAGTTCGCAGCAAAAGGACGAGAAGGTCAAGCAGCTCAAGGAAGACTGCGACTGGTTCCGGCAGGAGGCGCTGGAGCTCGACGCCAAGAGCGCGACGCTGAGGACGGACCTGCACGGCCTCAAGGACCGGCTCGAGGTCGCCGAGGACGACCGGAACTGGCTGCTCAAGGAGCTGACGCGGACGAAGATGCAGACGGACCTGCTGCGGTCCGCGCTGGACGCGCAGACGAGCGACACGAAGACGGCGGACGTCGTCGAGGCGGAGCGGCGCGCGGAGGAGGCCGTCTTCGAGGCGCGGCGGAGCGGCATCGGCATCCCGCGCAAGTCCGACGCCATGGCCTGGTCGCCCCAGGCGAGCCGCGGCGGCACGCGGCAGGAGTCGCGCGGCGCGCCGGACGACGGGCCGTCGCGGCCCGGGAGCGGCGGCGACGAGCCCGCGGAGGAGGACGCGCCCCGGCGCCGCGGGCCGTCGGCCTTCGACGCCGACGGCGCCAAGGAGCGCGAGCGCGACTACGCGACGCGCCGCGTCGAGGCGAAGAAGGCCGAGTGCCGCCGGCTCCGCAAGGCCATCGCCGCGCACCGCGCGTCCGCGGACCCGCCGACGCACGAGGCCGCGCGGCTCCGCGCGACGCTCCTTGAGTGCCTCCTCGCCGTCTCCAACGCCAAGGACGCGCGCCGCGGCGTCGCGCCGCCGAGCCGCGGGCCCGCGGCGCCCGCGCGCGCGGACGGCAAGCCCGCGAACCCGGACCTGAGCCTCCTCGACCCCCTCGACCTCGACAAGTTCACGCCCACGGACCGCATCCACGTCCTCT